GCATGCTCTTGCCAGAGAGAGAAGCAGACAGAAAATGATAAATCACCTCCCTCAAGGGATGGTCACACTGAAATCCCTTCTCCATTCTCCTCAGGATTCTGGGCATGTATGCAAGTGTGCCCAGCATGCGTTTCAAACCACTGAGTCTGGGACTCCAAACACATTAGGCCATGTGGGAAGTCCAACATCTTAACTACTACATTGCCTGCTGGCCCAAGTTTTTTTTTGTTTTTTTTTTAACCTGTAAAAGATATGTTTAATGATGGTAGTACACTCTTCATGGGGTTGCTGTAAAATTCACACATAAGAGCTCATAGCATGGTGTTTTACGAAGTATTAGCTATTACTGATTTCCAGTTTCTTAGCATCACCCAACATGGTCAATTTTTATTAACTTTTGTAGAAAGGATGTTGTATCAAATGTTGAGTATTTAGTATATAGAATCACAGTATGCCCTGATTTTTTTTTGGAGAGGTTTTTGCTATAGGGCATGTGTGCTCACCGGAAAGAGAGAGAGAGGCAGAAAGCAAGAAATCACCCCCTAGGAGGGATGGCCATGCCGCAATCCCTTCTCCTCCATTCTCCTCTCGGGATCTTGGGCACGCACTCACACGTGCCCGGCGGGAGTTTAAGCCACCGGGTCCAGGACTCAAACTGTTATCGACTACATGGGAGTTCAGCAACATAGGCATTACGCCAACTGCTGTTCCCACATATTTTTCTATGTAAAAATGTATCAAGACTTTTCCAACCCCCAGTACTAACCTTTCAGATTTTTCTACATGGGTGTCAATTTTCTATTCTAAATACCTTTTATGTTTCACTTTTAAATTTATACTTAGTCGGAGAGTGATAGGGTTGAGGTGGGAGGGTAGGAGGAAGCAACCTCTCATGGGGAATGGTCACACCACAATCTCTTCTCCATTTCGTCTTCCTTTAGAGATTTTGGGTACACATATTTTTGCCCCTGACATGTTTCTCAAGCCACTGGGTTCAAGACTTGAACTGCACAATTGGCCACGTGAGCTCCAGCTGCCTTACTGCCACACTACCAGCTAGTCTTTAAGTGCTTCTTTTTTTTTTTTTTTTTAAGAATTATTTATTTTATTTATTAGTGTTATTATTTTTTTAATTTGACCAGAATGAGAGACAGGGAAAGTGAGAAAGCAAGTTGGCCATTTGGAATTATAATGCCATAACCTCTGCCACCTGCTATCCCCCCCTAAAGTGCTTCTTCTTAATAACTAATGAAAATTATTTTTATTACCTTGACTATAACATGGTATATGCTAACTGAAATATATTAGTTAAAAGCCTGTTATTTGTTACTAGAATACTTTGTGATTCTTATGAAACTCTGCCAGTTTTGTTGTTCACGTCACTGTCAATTTAAAGTATATTTTTAATTTGTACAGATTCAACGTTTATTAGAGGCACAGTCTCTGAAGTCCTGTTCCCCTAAGACAACTATTGTTGAAGACACAGGGCAAGCTGCAAGACAAATGGAGCTGGTTTCCATGGAAGCACAGTCTTCTCCAGGCTTGCAGATGAGGAAGAGTGTAAGCATTGCTGTGAGCACCGGTAATTTTATTTTATTTTTTTTTACATTTTAAATATGGCTGACTAATAGGTCCAAAGTTTGTGCTATATAGTTCTAGCCACATATTACAAACCATCTCTCCCCAGTCCCATTTCAAATATCAGAGAACCTGGATGGCGTGATTTGGATTAGATTTTAATCCCTGGTTCAGTGATAAGGGTATTGAGAAACACGTAACAGGGACATAGCTGCTGGAGTCTTACCTTTGTAGGCCGTAGAGTGACATTTTCTAGGGAAACGTGTGTGTGTGTGTGTGCTGGAGATGTGACAATCAAGTTGTAGGTATTACGAGCTAACTAAACAAAGCAAGAACTGTAATATCTTCCTATGTTCTCTTGTAAAATCATGTACTTTATTATAGTTGCTTATCTTCTGTCTGTCACAAAATTTTAAGCTTTTTAGAATCTGGAAAAATAGCTTATTCACCATTGGTATTTCATTTCCTAACATGTCTGAATTGTGATATATGCTAAATAAGTAAAAGATAATTGAATGACATCATTCACATGTTTGAATTCTGAAATTATTGGAAAAATAAGTTTTGAAACATGATACAGATTGTTTTGCCATAGGGCACATGCACTTGCCAGAGAGAGACAGAGAGGGAAAGATAGAAACCACCCCCTAGGAAGGATTGCCATGCCACAATCTCTTCTCTCCCATTCTGTTCTCAGGATTCTGGACATGCACACACATTTGCCTGGTGTGATTTTCAAGCCTCCAGATTTGGGACTCAAACTGCAGTCATCCACGTGGGAATTCTGTACCTTAACATGCTACCTATTGGCCCAGAAATCAAATATTTTATGGCTTCATAGATTCATGATGATGTTCAAAAAAATCATTGAATTAGATCCTCAGAGTGGAAACTGTTTTGACTCAGATTTGCCATTTGGTTTTAGCCATTTCATTTCTTTTGCCACAGGGCACAAGTGCTCACCAGAGAAAAAGAGAGGGCGAGAGAGAAAGCCCCCGCCATGGGGCATGGTCATATGGCAGTCCCTTCTCCGTTTGTCCATCCCGTTTGGATTTTGGGCACACATGCTCATCCTCCCAGCACGTTTTCCAAGCCACCAGGATCAGGTTCAAACTGTGGTCTGCCATGTGGGATTCAACTCCCTTAACCACTTAGACCTTTAACCATTTCTTTAAACCACTACTTATTATTTTATATTCTTTCTCTAAACCTATATATTTGTAGGAGGCATATAGCTCATAGTACAAAGATGATTTAGGGTTGTATACAAATGAGTAATTCATGTTTCATAAATGAATGAGAAATGAATATGAGAAAAAATAGGACCAGCCTCTTAGTGTAGTAGTTATGGGAGCTGAATCCCACCTGACCAACCATGGTTCGAATCTCAGTCCCAGTGCCTTAAAGAATATGCTGGGCTGGGACCAGCAGATGTCCTAATGGCTACGTCGCTGGACTCCCATGTAGTCGACTGCGGTTCGAATTCTGGACCCGGTGGCTTAAACTCAAACCAGGAGCATGTGTGTGCGTGCATCCCCAAGATCCTGGAGGAGAAGGGGTTGTGGCATGGCCATCCCCCCTGGGGGTGATTTCTCGCTTTTGGTCTCTCTCTGGCGAGTACACGTACCCTATAACAAAAACCTCTCAAAAAAAACCAAAAACAAACAAAAAAAAACATGCCGGCACTGCAGTGTGACCACACCTCGTCGGGGAGAGGGGGTGCTTTCTTCCTCTGGTAAGCACATACGTCTTCTGGCATTTTTTTAAAAAGGAAAAAATGTAATTAGTGCATCAAATCTGTGATATCATAGCAGTGACGAGGCTAGGTAAATTAAAGTGTGAGTTAATTTAATAAAAAGCAGTTAATGTAGTATAATACATGCAAATAACTTTGAAAATATCATGCAAGTAGTCCATAAAGTTTGGGAACTGCCTGATATTATATGTGTCTAATGCA